TTGTCTGGCTCCATTTCAAGCTCACCCTCTCAGTCTTTATCTCTCGCTCCTGCTCCCTCTGTGGTGGCGCTCACTGTGATGGTGGCTCTGGTCTCTCATTGGCATGCACCCATAGCACCCATATCTGTGACCTTCAAATGTCCCTTCAGTAACACTCTCTCTTTTCTCCTCCATGTGACGACAGCAGTCCTTATGGTGACACTTACAGCTCACCCATCATTACTAATAGCACATCAGATTTAAATCTTTTTATAAAATCATTTAAAAAGCAGCTCCGTGAGCTTAACTAGTTCAACGTGGAGAAGTGCTGTCTTTTCAGATCATCGCTTTTAAAACGTGTGTCCACAGTTGTCTGCATTTCAATGTCCTTCCATATATGTCAGTCATGTAACACATCATTTGTAGCCGTCTTGTGTTCCATTTGAGGTGATTTAGTGGCTGAGAGGTCGGTTGCTAACAAGTCTAAAGCCTGGCTCACGCTGTGCGATTTCCCCCCGATTGTATAAAAGTCGGGGTGGCATGTCAGCTCACACTGTACGACTGAATCGTTTACGACGCCCGACCAGACCATGAGATCGACGTGCTCACACCGTACGACACGATTGTCAGGCACGGCCGGAGAGCTCACACTGTACGAGTGAAATCGAGACAGAGTGTTGACGATTGTTAATAAAGTTTCATTTGAAAAAAAACAAAGGACGACGGTCGGTGAAAGAGAAGGAAGTGGAAGTTGTTGTAGGATATAGAAAAGTTGATACAATTGTAGATATATGGAGACAAGTTTCAGAAAAGTGCTGCACTGATGATCTGTACAGCTGCCGCTGGTCGCCATGACTACATGATTTTAAGATTGGATCTTTGTACCGCTCACACTACAAGAGACTCTGAACAGATAATCGGGTCCGAGCAGCCTCGAGTCGGGAGCGACCCTGAGATTGTCAGGAAGGAAGAATCGGAGCTCAAATCGGCCCGATTATCCTGCAGTGTGAGCCAGACTTCAGAGAATGATGGTTTGAAGTTGATGTTAAAGTGGCTGAAATCCAAACGTTTGCATGAACATCGGTTCACTTGACTGCTTGTATCAGAGAGGACTGACTCGTAGTGAAGAGCCCACAGAGTTATCACCCAGCTCTGCATTAACCTCCGACTCTATACAGAGAGTTAACTCAGCTAATGTTTCTGGACTTTTTGTGGGCTCAGTCTCACCACACTCTTTGCTTTTTAGTCGTAAATGTCAATGGTTTACAGCATAAAGACTCACAGAAGCAAACAGTAAACGGATAAAGCTATTAACAAGCTGTTGCGCTTAGTGTGGCATTGAGCAGCTAAAGAGCCAAAGATTCCCTCAGGAGGGAGTGGACACAGAAAATCGGAGTTTAAAGGAAAGTGAATATTGACTTAAACGCACAGTTTGTAATTTCCACCACCAGACGTCGAAGCTGGCGGGGAATCATGGGAGTGCTACATCACCCTCACTACAGATGAAAAACAAACTCGAATTGACCGAACGAGCGATAATTTACATAACGTTTTTATCACAGCAGCACATACATCTCAGTATATTCTGATCTGTGTTTTTAAATGGACTACCGCTGCTCTCTCGTGGCAGCTTTGGGTTAAGATTTGACTGAAGATCTGTTAAGTTTTTTTTAAAGCTTTTGTGCCACCTTTCATTAAAATAATGAGACTTGTTTTGTTTTAAAACACACCGTATTGAAACAGTATCATAGTATCAGATATTCTGACAACCTTGCAAGCGAACGGTTTGCTAACAAGTGATCCCAGCTTGTTTTTGCTGCCCCCTAGTGGCTGAAAGAGAAGAATCTCTCTTTGCATGTTGACTAACTTCTAAAGCCTGAACTTAACTTCACTAACAGTGATGCTCCAGGACTTTATGTCTTGATATTTTTAGCCTCCTGATAATTCAACTGACAGATTGTCACCGTTGTTCTAAATATAGAGAGTTGCTGAGTCGCACTCTTAAAGACACATCTCGTATCCGGAACGGTCAAAATGATACTGTCAGGTTATTTCATGCACACACTCACACACACACACACACACACACACACACGACGCAGTACACAACACACAGAGATCATATAAGACATGGGCTGAGCCTCGTGTGAACCTTTGGGAAGTGTGTGCACGCAGTCAAACATGGTGTAATGACACCCACCACATCACACCGGCTCTGGACCGCATACAGACGCCCACTCTCACAAGCTGTGCTGATACACTCACAGTTTAATACACACAGGGAACGCTGCTCTTTTTTCCTGGTGGATTTCTAGAAAAACTACTGCATGTTTTTGGGGGGTAAGTAAACAAATCCCACCCTCTGCTCGTATCGGGATGTACCGTTTTTATGCACAGTAGAGTGCAGCTCGTCCTTGTGTCAGTGAGTGCGTGTTTCAGTGAGCTGATGCTGTTCTGTGTTCCTGTTCATGTATCGCTCTGTGAGGCGGTTAGTATCCAAATGTATTCCTCATTAGAGAACACATTTTTGGGATGAGAATACGCTGCTCTGTGCACAACATAATGCCTCTAATTAAATCGGCTTCTCCAACTCCAGACTAGAGTTATAAATAGGGATGTAACGATGCATCACAGTACATGAAAAAACAAAACAAATATGGACAATTTAAAGCGATTTGACAAAAATATATATTGCACTGCCTTTTTTTAACCAGCGGAGGGCGCTATCTGCCTGTAGCTTCTCTTGTTGGACGTCCGTATCTAAAGATGAGACGTGCACAGACATGACAAAAGTGACTTTTTTGAGGTTTAGATTGAGTCTTCTTTCAAAGTAGGAACTATTGAAATTAAGCGATTAATCAACATTAAAAGTTTATTTAAAAGACAAGATTTTAAAATCCTTCTGCGATTTTAAACACTGCACTAAATGTCTCGTTTAGTCTTGCGCACTTATTTTGTGTTTATTGCTGATCTTTAATGTTAAACTTTTTGTACATAGACAGTTCAACAATACATACCTGACCAATAAAGCTGACTCTGATTCTGATGTTTAGTGATCCTGAACCAAGTGTTTGATGCAGTGATGCGTTTCTTTACATGTTTTTCTGAAGTTGTGTAGAAGTGAGTGGGTATACTAATGAGCAGCAGGGATGTCCATGTCACTAATGTCTCATCTCATCAGTCTAACCCCCTTGACCCAGAGCCATCTCCTTAATCCTGCTCGACCACGTGGCACCCGAACCCCTCTGGTTAACGACCTCGTTCTTTTTTTCTTTCTCTCTCTTTTCTCTTCTTGTGCTGTTTCACCAACCAACTGACCACCGTCTGTTCGCTCTCTTTGGCATGTTGTTCTCTGAAGGAGAGGAGCTCTTGGGGACCGAAGGGGCCAGGTACATGAAGATGGATGACATGAAAGACCATGATGACGATTTCCTCTCCCCCAAGAAATCACTGGAGTACGAGAGAGGGCTGGGCACAGCGTAAGGGGGGCTGGGTGGGGAAGCAGGCGAGAAAAAGCCGAGCTGGTAGTCACACACTCATACTGTAGGTTGGATGGGTAGATGGGGATGCACCATAGACACTCACTACACACCAGGGATGAGCACTTGGGAGGAGATGTAAGGAGAAATTCTTCGATCTGACTTGTTTCTTGTTCTTTAAAACAATAGGAATTACTCGCCAGCCATTCCAAGGATCCCCCGAGTTTCTCCCGAGACCGTCATCCTGAAGGAACACGAGATGGATCAGGTACTTCACTGCACCACATCAAACTTTGCATCTTCTTATAGCTGGACTGCTCATACAGTGCTGATATGATATTGTCATGCGTGTTTGCACATAACCAAGTCTATATCATGTTTTTTAATTGTTTAAACATTAATGTTGCAGCTTGATGTAAAGAACCAGAGTTAAGTTAAAGCTAGCCTGTAACACACACATTCACACCAGCAGCAAGAATATCTGAGTCAAATGAAGAGCAGTGTTATAACTCACTGGTTACAGACTTTATCCTCTTTGAACAGGTTTTTTTAGGTTTATTTTAAATGCTAAATTCCACCAGATACAATCTTTCTCTGTGATTCAAATAAACGGTTTGTCTTTTTGTCTGTTGCAGCAACACACTCCTCTTCCACTGCCCAAAGAGTATGACGATGACTCGCTGATTCCCAGCAGCCCTGCGACTGAGACCTCAGACAACGTCAGCCCAGTCGCCAGTCCCATACACACGGGGTCAGCAAATCGAAATTCAGTAAATCTTTGCTTTATCTGCGATCTGGCACCCCAACCTCACAGTGTTGGTCCTTTAACAGGTTCCTGGTCAGTTTCATGGTAGATGCTCGTGGCGGCTCAATGCGAGGCAGCAGGCATAACGGTCTGCGTGTCATCATACCTCCACGGACCTGTGCGGCACCCACCCGCATCACCTGCCGCCTGGTGAAGCCGCAGAAGCTGACCAGCCCCCCTCCGCTAGTGGAGGGAGAGGGGCTGGCCAGCAGGATCATCTCCCTGGGTCCAGCAGGAATGCAGTTTCTGGGGTGAGGAAGAAACCGTCAATACAATCATCAGGATTATTTTATTTTTTTCCAAAATGATTGAAAACTGTGATAGAATATCCAAAGTCTTTAAAGTGGGGGTTGTGAGCTATTAGACATTTTTAGACATACTTACATATGTTGTAATAATACTGAACCTGGACAAAGATTAAAAGAAGGAGGTAAACATGTCTGAGTAATCCCTCAGTCTTCAGGGCTCAGTCTGAAAGGCTTCTCTTAACACCAGCTTTCTCTACGTTTGGAGATTTTAAGTATCTCCTCTGAAAATAACTCTGAGTCATGACTGTCTACAATGGGTGTAACACCTGAGTCCCACTGTCTGTGACACCTGTGTTACATAAATAAAGTTGTTTTTTTTCAGCTGTAAAAAACTGAAAAGCGACTCCAGAGCTTACACAGAGTGAAAACCTAAAACTTGGAATGTGCATAACATGGCTACTTCAATGTTTTTAATTTTACATTTCCTGATTTTTTTTTTATCTTTTAAAGTTATTTTTGGGGCCTTTTGCCTTTATTAGATAAGACAGCTGGAGAGAGACAGGAAGTGTTGGGAGGAGAGAGTTGGGGAGGAAATGCAGCAAAGGACATCAGTCAGATTCAACCCAAAGGCCGCTACATTGAGGACTATAGCCTCTATACATGAGGCACGCAACATAACCGCTAGGCTATCGGTGCCCCAGATAACATACTTTATCATCATTGTATGCATTGGACTAAATTTTGTTGGTGACATTCAGCCCATCAGCAACAGACAAGATAAAAAGATTACATAAAAAATATAACAAACAGCAAATGAAAGACAGAGGGATAAAATAGAAGAGTAAACAACACACATTCTATACAAAGAAAAAAATAAAATATTGCATATTGAACATGAGTAACGTGTGTGTGCAATGTGTGTTTTGTGTGGCAGGCCGGTTATCGTGGAGATCCCTCACTTTGCCGCTCTCGGTCGAGGTGACCGGGAGCTTGTGGTGCTGAGGAGCGAGAACGGCTCAGTCTGGAAAGAACATCGCAATCGCTACGGCGACGAGGTGCTAGAAACAATCCTCAACGGGATGGATGAGGGTGAGGATTGAAATGCTTTCGTCTCAGACGGATGGTCCGACATGTCTCTGTTTTCTTTTTGTTTTCACCTCACGACCTTCTTCTCTCGCCTCCTCAGAGTTGGAAAGTCAAGAGGAGCTCGGGAAGAAGAGAATCCGTCGCATCATCTCCACCGACTTCCCCCTTTACTTTGCCGTCGTGTCACGAGTCCAGCAGGAGAGCGACCTGATTGGACCAGAGGGCGGCTCGCTGACAAGTAAACTGGTGCCGTTGGTCCAGGCCACGTTTCCCGAGACGGCAGTCACCAAACGAGTCCGCCTGGGGCTGCAGGTGAGATGGGACGATGATGAGAAGGAAGGAGAAGAAAGACAGAATCGTTAATGCCTGTGCATGATGGATGTATTTGATCATGGACACCCGATCATATCAGCACTTGTACCAGTTTTTCCACGTTTAGTTTTCTGCTGCTTGTTTAGTTTGCTTGATATTCTTAAAGGACCTTTTTTGCATTTCAGACAGTGCATGCACTTTGCATCTTCGATATGGCTGGACTGCTTATGCAGTGCTGATATGATATTGTCATGGGGGATTTCTTTCTTGTTTTGCCGACCTGTATTATGTTTTTTTTTTTTTAAATCAAGTAACTAGAGTACTGACGATAACAAACACAACTTAAAAATAAATATTGTGCATTCTTACGCTTGAGAGGAAACACTGTTTGGATGATAAACACACATATTACCTAACTGTTTGGATATCATGATGCTCTGAATAAATGCTTTGAAGCTCCTGTGAGGAGTTTGTATCTGGTTATGAAACAGGCCGAAATGAATAGTGATGCAAACAAGAGCATCAGGAAGACGACTGACATTTAAATAAAGTTATTTTGAATGGCCTTAAATGCCGCTGGGGGTTTAAACTGATTAACAGCCACGGCAGAAATCAACTTTTCTTTACATTTTCCACTGCAAAGATCCACAGTGAGAATACTGACTATTAAAAGACTTCAGAAGAAGGAGGTTTTTCATCACACACTATTAAACTTACAGGACAAAATCAGGAGCAAATAGAGGAGTTTAAAGGCTGGATCAAATACAGGATCAGAGTGGGTTTAGAACAAGAAACTTCACATGTTTTGGGGAGCTTTGAGACTAATTTAAATTTGATGAAAAGGAGGAGAATATGTCACCTTTAAGCAATAAACATACTGTACAATCTCTGTGGACTTCAGTCCTGGTGTTCCAGGTGACAGGGTTTCTTTAAAAAAAGATGTTAAATGTTATCTTTTCTTTTGTCATTGTTCTTTGTAGTGGGTATCTTTTGTTATAAATGCATGTTTTGGCATGTTTGAGAGGCTACATTTACCCTTTGTGCACGTTTGGTTTTGTTTGTCTTTGTTTTTTGTTTTTTTTACCCTGTAGATTTTACTCATTGATTATGATTTGAAGCATCTAATGAGTTTTAGGCATCTTGTGGAGACTTAAAAACTCCTGCCAGAGTAAACCAAACCGGACCTTCTGCTTCTTTTTTAAAGAGATGTTTAGAGTAATGAATCGATGAGTAAACTAACATGCAGTAACATTTTAGCAGAGAGAAGTTGAATGTAACTAATTAAGAGTCAAATAGACATTATTTTATACTTCATACAAATCTATTTTATAACCTCCAATGTGCTTTAGTCGTGCGTAAGCCACGGTGCCTTTTTGAAACACTTCTGTACTAATGATTGTAAACGCTTCCTGTTAACACACATTGTTATATTTTACAATAAAGAGAGTTACTAAGTCCTACAGCCTCCTGGTGTTAAGGTACTTTATTCATCGTGTACTCTTTCTCTCTCTTCATCTTTCATTTGTCCCTCTTCGTTTGCCGTCTGGTACCATCATCCACCTCCCATCATCTATTCCTACCTGCCATCCCAACATCGTTATCTAATCTCCCCTGCTCATTCGTTTCCCTCTTTTATCTAATTTCCCTTTTTTTCTACCACATCATGAAACCTGTGCTTGTGTTACCGCCCCTCCCACCCTCCTCCATCATTTACTTGAATCTTCAGGCTCAGCCAGTTCCAGATGAGCTGGTTGCTAAGCTGCTGGGTAACCAGGCTAACTTTAGCCCCGTGGTCACCGTGGAGCCTCGACGGCGCAAGTTCCACCGGCCCATCGGGCTGCGTATACCTCTCCCCCCGTCCTGGAAGGAGAGTCCCCGAGACTCTGGAGAGGGCGACACCACCAGTCTGCGCCTGCTCTGCTCTGTCATAGGTAGGAGGGTGTGTGTGTGTGTGTGTGTGTGTGTGTGTGTGTGTGTGTGTGTGTGTGTGTGTGTGTGTGTGTGTGTGTGTGTGTGTGTGTGTGTGTGTGTGTGTGTGTGTGTGTGTGTGTGTTCAGGAGAGCTCAGTTGTATACTTTCTATGATGAGGAAGGATTGACATTAAAAGATGTTCTTGCACACTGTCAACTTGAGGTGAGCTCTATCAGAGCTTTGCTGACGCAGTCTCATCTGTTTCCCAGGAGGCACTGCTCCGGCCCAATGGGAAGACATCACCGGCACCACCAAGCTCGCCTATGCCAACGACTGTGCCAGCTTCACAACCAATGTCTCGGCACGGTAAGTTAGGGTTGGCAACACAGAATGTTTTTCAGCCTCGATACCAAAAAGAATTCAGAAGTACAAACATTTTTATTTGTCATCCAATTGATATTGTTGTCACGCAGTTACCAAGACAAACTGTTTATGTGAGTAAATTCAAGAAGATGGAAACCAGTTGAAGACATCTAGAAATACACAAACTGTATGTATAGAGAACAGAACAAGAAATAGAACAAAAATACTGAAGAAAAAAGGCCCACCTTGACCCCCTGGTTACACTATAAGAAACAAACATTGAGATGTCTAATTATAAAAGTCTTCTGTACTACAGTACGACTATAAGACGAGAATACGAACATAGATCACGGATACGTTCATGTACAATATGCATAGACACATGTTAGCATTGCATGATTTGGGTAATAGGGAAGTTCAAATCCTTTATGTCAGAGAACATGACAGCTGCTTTACTGACTGTGTGGATTAGTTTATGTCATTAGTCAGTTACAGCCAGAAAACTTTCTTGATATAATGGAAGGCTGTCCACGTTTCATGCCTGTGTTTGTGCTCATTCATGAACTGTGGTGACTCAACAACAGCTTTAAATACTTCTTGTGGTATAAACCACATTGTTAATAACAAGAGTGAAATTACATATATACATATACATATATTCTTATGATGGTTCTTGTGATGGTCGGGTTATATATGTCTGTTGGGTATCGTGCACTTTGGGTTCTTTTCTGTTGAATTGTATTTTATTATTTTTAGTATTTTGCATTTGTTTGTTCTTGCTGTTGTTTATGTTCTTCTGTGTTTGGTTTAGTTTGTTCTTGTTTTTGTTTATGTTCTTCTGTGTTTGGTTTAGTTTGTTCTTGTTTTTGTTTATGTTCTTCTGTGTTTGGTTTAGTTTGTTCTTGTTTTTGCTGTTTGTCAAAGCACTTTGTAAACCTGTGTTTTTAAAAGGTGCTATAGAAATAAAGTTATTATTATTATTATTATTAAGTTATTATGACATATAAATATTACAAACATCAGACTTATATTCAATCTTCAAATGTAACTCTACAAAAGATGCATCACACTAGAGTCAATCTTACTTCTAGTTTAAACAAAATACAAAAATTAAAAGGATAAAAATCCCCCATTCAAAAGTCCAACTCAGGATGGGGGACAGATTCCAGGTTGTGCGTTCCTTCATGAGAGAAACATCCTCAAGCAGGAAGATGGCATCGAAGAGAAAAGTGCTTAATCAAAGAAACAAACTTATAAATGAAGCTCATTCATCAACTAGAGCGGATCCAAACATGAGCTGATAAACACATTTCAGATAAATTACAATAAAATATTCAACTAAGCGATGAGAGTTCTCACCTGATTGTTGAGCGAGTGACGCTCCCTCACACGGGGAGAAATCATTACTAGAGATTTTTTTGGCTGCAGAGCATTGATGTTGTAGACTCGTCCAAACGGCTCCATTGATTGGAGCAGTTGATGACGCCAGGAATGAAAGCCTTTTTCTCTTCAAAATGATTTCAGCAAGTAGCTCAGCGGTGTTTACATCAGACAGTGAATGGACCGATTTCTGTGATTACACGTCTTTGTCTCCTCTCAGGTTCTGGCTCGCAGACTGTCCTCGGACAGCCGAGGCCGTCTCCTTTGCCAACCTGCTCTACAGGGAGCTGTCGGCCGTTCCCTACATGGCCAAGTTTGTGGTGTTTGCGAAGATGAATGAGGTGCGTGAGGGCCGCCTGCGCTGCTACTGCATGACCGACGATAAGATGGATAAGACCCTGGAACAACATGAGAACTTCACCGAGGTGGCTCGCAGCAGAGACATAGAGGTCGGTTCAGAGTTGAATTCTACGTTATAAAACACAGTGACACCACTGAGTGCTGATGGAGGTTTGATGCCTGTGTTTCATGTTGCAGGTGATGGAGGGAATGCCGCTTCACCTGGAGTGTTCAGGGAATCTAGTGCCGGTCAGAAAGGCTACCCAGCAGCCTCGCTGCTTCAGCTTCCAGGCCTTCAGAGATAACCGACTCCCTGTCTCTGTTAAGGTATCAGAATTTGGTTTTCTCTGACAAATCCACCTCAAGTTCTGTCCGATCGATCCATCTTTAACCAATTCAAAAGAAATGTTATATGAAGTCTGTGAGCAAACACTTTGCAACACTGGCATAATTCTACAATCCACTTAGCAGACGCTTTTCTCCAAAGCGACGTACATCAGAGAGAAAGAACAACACAAGCAAGGATCTAGAAAAAAGGGAACAATGTCAGTAAGAGCAAACGATCAGCTTTGAGTCTGATTGGACACACAGGTGCTGACAGGAAGTGACCAGAGGCAAAGCACAACATTGAGGGCAGTTCTTGAGAGCTCTAATCAGTATAGAAACCATCTTATAAGTCATTGTTATCAAACAAAAACCATCGTCATTACCATCATCATCATCAATAATATGGAGACCATCATCATTAAGTTAGTAGGTATTCATGAAAGAGCTGGGTCTTTAGCTTTTTCTTAAAGGTGCAGAGGGACTCTGCAGATCACATGGAGTTTGGAAGTTCATTCCACCACCGGGGGGCGACAGAGGAGAAGAGTCTAGTCAGAGACTTAGGACCCTGTTGTGAAGGTTGGATCAGACGCCTTTCAATGGCATAGCGGGGGGGGGGGGGGGGGGGGGAGTGTAGACCTGGATCAGAGAGTTAAAGTAAGGAGGAGACGGTTTTGTAGCGGAGTGCTCTTTTAGGAAGGTTGAAGATAACTCGTGCTGCTGCATTTTGTGTGGTAGGGATTAATTTCCTTTTAACAGGCAGAGACCTCGAGCAGAACCAGATTCTTGTTCAACAGCACATCTGACTGTGTTGTGCTTTGAAAGGATAAATAAGACATGATGTAATTTATTGTTCCTTAACTCTGTCCTGCAGTTTCAAGAGAATTAAATACATAAAAAGAGATCAAACAAAACATGTATCAATTCCACATATACATAAAAACACCTTCCTGCAGCGGTGACATATTGACATATTGCACGGCTGTTTGGCACATTCTTAATATTCAGAATATTAATGGTCATCATCGGTACAAAGGAAAGTTTGGAGCGGTTCAGCCCTGACTGAGTGACCCTGAATCTTCTCCCAGAGAGTGATAAAAGCTGACAGTCAGAGAAGCAGAGGACAGGTCTGTGTGCCACCGGGAGTAACGGAACGAGAGAGTCAATTTGTCTTTACTTATGCATTCTGCTGCATACAGAAATATCCTATATGCTAAGTTTGTGGGATATGTATACCATTGCAACATATGCACAACAAAGCTCCTCTGTCACTTTTATTTGTTTATTTATGTGACTGTGATTATGTCTTTGTACTATTGTTGAAAACTCAATAAAAATATTCTTTAAAAAAAAGAAAAGAAACTGGATTGTGAACAGGGCTTGTAGGTACCACAAGAGAAGCAGGCGTGCATTCTGGGAGTGTAATGTTGTGGACGGGTAATATGGCACTATGAGCTCTTTCAGAGATTGTAGCGCTGTATTCTCTGTTTCTACATGTTACCAGCTCCGTGTCTACTCTTCATATTGTATTAAAAGTGTCTTTCTATGTGTCTGTATGTTGAAGGTAAGAGACAGCAGTAAAGAGCACACTGGATTTCTGTCTTTCCTGCGCAAGTCCACAAAGTACGAGGACAGCCAACATGTGCTCTGCAACCTCAACATCACCATGCCTCCATGTATCAAGGTAGGAAGGAGCTGGTTCACATTTACAGGAAGCACAGAGTGTATTTAAGATGACAGACTTCAGTGTTGTTTGATTTGATTGGCAGGTCATCGGGAGTGAAGACCGGAGAAGAACTCTGACTCCGCTGGCTTTAAGAGAAAGATACAGCGCCCTAAATGAACCTGCCATGGGTAAGATGATCTAATTCTTCTGCTTGTAATTCAATTCGACATCAGACTGAGTGAACAAGACGTTAGAATTGGCAGTTGTGTGGTCTGTTTCTTGGCAGCCTCGATGAGTGCCATGGAGAGGACGGAGCTGAAGATGGCTGTGATTGCAGAGCAGTTGGGACTGAGCTGGGCCGGTAGGCGAACATGCTGTAAAACTGACCATGTTTACCTTTTGTCTGACAAGCTTGTCGAGCTCGCCGCTGATTAAACAAAGTTATAACATGGCCAGCAGCCAACCAAACTAATTATACGGCTGTTTTGCTGCCAAAACACCGACGCTGTTTGATAGATTTTTCAGCCTCTTGTGGGTAGAGCTCCTGTTAGCTCCAGCTCAAAAATAAGACTGTGTACACTGTGACAGCATGACTCAGCTGAAAATGATACGAATATTTTCCTCGCTTACTTGGACTGACTTTTAATTATAAGGTTTAATTTATTTCACATCACACCCATTTTAGCCACAGCTAAGATGCTCAAATTGGACCCACCTGCTATAAATGAATGAATAGAAAGAATGAATAAAATATAGATTATGAAAGCCTCTCATACAGCCTCAAAGTCCAAAAGAAAAGATTTTACAGGATAGGACCAAATCGATGGAGTGTGCAAAACCTTTAAGGCCAGACGTTATCTGAAATAACATGTCATTTGTAGTTTTTGCATCCGTTAGCTTTCTCTTTGTTTTATGATTCCTCTTCTTGTCTTCCACCCCTCTGAGGTGAAAGCTTCCCATGCTCAGGTCACATGTTCTGTAAAATACACTTAGCTAAGTTTTACAAACACTAATATGTCTCTCCACTTTTAAACTTAAAGGTTCCTCTTTGAGTCTATGAGATGAAGTCATGTTTTACAGAACAGAGATTTCTTTAACTCCTTCCTTCTGTTCCCTGAAGTTTAGAAGCTCAGGTTTACACTACTTCCTTGTAAAAAAAAAAAAAAGAGAAAGAAGTGAGCTGTATTTTAAACAGATACCAGACTTTTGATCGTTATTACATCCGCTCTCATTAAACCAAGATACAGGACCTTAACTTCATCAAGGATTCCACATCCCCAAATCTTTTTCAGAGCTCTACAAATATTTACCCGTGTGAGTGACATGTCCTGTCTGACTCATTTCTGAACAGAGTTAGCCCGAGAGCTGCAGCTCAGCGTGGACGACATCAATAAGATCCGAGTGGAGAATCCCAACTCGCTGCTGGAGCAGAGCTCTGCGCTGCTCAACCTGTGGGCCACCCCGCGAGGGCAAGAGGGCCAAGAGTGAGTACAAGACATCTGAGCTGAGCACATCCTTTATTATACAATAAAGATCATTCTTCAAATACATTTCCACACATTTATACCCACCTATTTATAGTACGCCTGAACTTAAAGCCACTGAGGGGCTGCATAGAAAGGCTCATTATTTAGTTGACGTACTAGCCTTGGCCTTCATAAAGCTTCAGTGTTTATCCAGCTCTGCATGGGTCTGTAAACCTTTCTGTGTTCTAACCTCTCTCCATTTTTCAAAAGCATCTCCAATATTGATCCTAGTTTGAGCACGTTTCTGCTCGTGGAGCTTATTAGAAACATGCAGAGGCTTTTTAGGTCGGGTACAATCACTTCTATCTGAACCACTTCTCTTGACCGCTTCCATCGCTGCAACACCTGTTGACCTGATAACTGCTCTCATATCTGACAAACAGAGGGGCGTCCAAAACGGCCGTGTGGGGGGGTGTCTTAAAAGCGCCTACCTTCTCTGGTCCAAACAAATCCAGAGCATTCAGGAGCAGAATCTAAAGTTAGAAGGAGGACATACTGGCTGCGGCATTGTTGTCAGAGAAGACAGCACTTCAACATAGCATGTTTCCTTAATGTCTGATCAGATAGTAAGATACCTTTATCATTTCATTCACTGGATATCTTACATATTGGTCCTTTATGGTCACTTTCCATTATGTTTTAGCATCAAATTAGCAAACTAAGATATACATCTTGTATATGACAGAATGAGTGCCCCCCCCGGAAGATACAGCACCAGCTGCATCAGAGAGTGCTTATTTCAACCTCTCATATTTTTCACCCCACTTTAACCCCTCTCTATCTTCATTCATCTCCTGCGCAGTGGAAAGCTTGTACGCAGCTCTGAAGAGCATCGACCGTATGGACATCGTCAACATGTTGGAGGGCCAGCCGCCTCAGCCCGCGAGACAAGGGTCCCGCGACCTCAGCAGACGCCGACACAACGAGAGAGAACACCTCTCCCCTGGTATGACCAATGGTGAGTTCCCCTCCCCCCCAAAAACAATCCCACCATGCAGCCCTCTTCCCCTTGTTCCCTTTGTCTTGATCCTGAAGCCACCTTTCTAATAAACACACCCCCATGTTCCCTAGAGCCCTCCCCCAAAGTGAAGGCAAAGTGAGGTTTGTTTCCCTCTGAACTCTCTGTTTTCCCCAGGTTGTTATTCTTTATTCTCTGTGATGCTCTTGTGTGTGAAAGCGGCCACAAACTTTTGCAGGAGTTTACCACAGCAACATGCAGAGGGACTCAGGACACTCCTACTGTACTACGACCTCAGTAGTACCTCAATGTGATATTCAGTCACTGTGAAGCAAAGTAGAGTACACAATGTAGTACTAAATCGTCAATGAATAGCATTCTAGCAAAACACTCCACATAAAGAGAAGTAAAGTGGGCTGTGAATAGAGATTCTTTCTGCTCTCTTTTTTAAACTATTATCTCCAGTTAGTCTTTATCTTGGGCCATCATGAGTTGATGTATTTGTTAAACTGTAACAAGCCGACTCATCCAGCGTCTTAATTATAATATATTCTTTATTTATAGAGCACTTTTACAAGAACAGCAAAAATAACAGGCAGGTCTTACAATCATATGCAAAGGCAAAGATTACAAAATAAATACTTTAAAGGTTACACATTCTCCTCCTTTTTAACAAGTTTAACAACAAATAAGTCTCAGAGCTCCTCAAAACATGTGTGTGAAGTTTCTAGTTCTAAATCCACTCTGATCCTGTATTTGACCATGTCTATTTCAGCCCTGCTCAGAACAGGCTGTTTCTGTGTCTGTACCTTTAAATGTGTAAATGAGCTGTGTCTGACCACGCCCCCTCTCTGGAAGGGCTTGGGTGTACTCGGTGCTTTCTCGCTCCATGTACTATTGTTAACGATGAGAAGGCAGACTCAGAGGGCAGAACAAACACCTAGCTGTGGGAGTGTCACCCACCTGGGGGAGGGGCTACTGCCCTTTGTGATGTCATGAAGGGAACATCTCCAAACAGTCTGTCTGAAGACAGACTAGGGACACATGTTAGTGTTAGAAAAACATGGTGAAGTTTATCTTACATACTATGTGACCTTTAAGACACAAAATGTGGCAGCTTTTGAGAATTTTTGGATAATAATCTAAAGTGTAAGGCTAGAAAGCACTTGAGTCTTATTTTGCTACTTTAAGAGATACTCAGGATCAGGATACTCAATGACAAATGTTATAGTTTCATGGCAAAAGACACACTTTTTTTGAAAGTGAATTACTGAAAAGATGAGATCATTTATAAATCCAGAAGGAAATTCTTAAATAAATGGAAAGACAGATAGAGGGGGCTAACCTAGCATGTTGGGTGTTCAGTGGCTCGCTGAACGGCACCTCAAAGAGTAAACTGGCGCCATACATGGTCTGCACTGGGACTGAAGTCCCTCCAGTTCCGAACCCAAACACAGCTGCTGTCGCTCCTCAGAACATGTTGGTTTTGGACCCCTGTTGCCAAACAGCCCCGAGTCAGAGTGGCTGTTATTTACATCCCATTCTCCTGGTTCTCTGTTTATTTCTTTACCATCATTTAGTTGATTATCTGACAAGAAGAAGACACTACAGCACTACTGCAACACATATTAATACATTCATTTATGTACTTAAACATTGAAATTAAATAAAGCAAGAGTTAGTGGGATATACTAAGCAAACAAAAAACAAAAAACCTCCATGAGAGGTGGCCCTAAATGTAGGCTAACTGGAATATAGTTAATATAAAAACAGCTGGAAACATCCTGAGGGGTGGACATGGCTCCTGGCCTAAAGTATCTCCTAACATTTACTATTTTATCGTATTGTTCTGTGTGCTCGGGAAGTTAGACCAGTTACTCATGATTATAAAAGTAGTTTGTGATATTTTGTCTATGAAACAACACACTGTCATACATGTTAGTCCACATAGATCACGATGTAAGTATAGCCTAGCTTTACTGACCTCCTTACCAAATGTCAGTCTTTTACTCCTTTTCCTCATGGTTTCCTTCACACATGCATATTCTACATCCTATTGACTCCATTTTCACCTCTGGACTGGTGTGAGCTCCCTTCTTACTGGACTCTTCTCTGCACCCAGAGCAGACAAAGAGTTCGTCCTGCAGGTGTCAGGTCCTGGTCTGTGAAAACTGGAGCAATACTCTGAGATGTAACGATGCATAAAGAAACCACCATGAGGGCCAAAGGGGGGAAAAAAGGGAGACATTCAGATCACAGCTGCAGTGAATCTGATAACTGTGTATCAGTCTTGTCTGTCTTTCTGTCTGGCTACCTGCCTCCCAAAGGCCGTTCCTGCTTTGGTTTTCAGCGTAAGGTGGTGGCGTTTTTTGAATATCTAGATATTTTGTCCTCTGTTGGTGTCACAGTGACGGGTTCAAGAAGTTCAAGACTCCTAGGAGTCCTAAAGGCACAGTGGGCGAGTGAAGGAACAAACCTGACTTTTATTAGGCAATACAAATGAGTCGAGGAATCAAATGATCAGATAATAAAAAGAAACGCTACAAGCGAAAGAAGCTTGATACCACTCTCATGTCCACACGGAAAGCTACTACAAGCAGAGGATTAGCTTAGCTTAACTGACGCTTAGACTGATTGTTTTTTACAACCTCTGTACAGATATTCACAAACAGGGGCAGATTCAGACACCTCCTGAATCCGCCCCTGTTTACACATTATAAAACGTAAAACACAAGAGGTTTAAAGATAGTTTCCTTTGGACAGAGCTGAGCTAGCTGCTTCTGTTTCCTGTCTTTGTGTTTCACTGTTAGCTACACTGTTAGCTACACTGTTAGTTACACTGTTAGCTACACTGTTAGTTAACTGTTAGTTACACTATTAGTTAACTGTTAGTTAACTGTTAGTTACACTATTAGTTAACTGTTAGCTACACTGTTAGTTAACTGTTAGTTACACTGTTAGTTAACTGTTAGTTAGACTGTTAGTTAACTGTTAGCTACACTGTTAGTTAACTGTTAGTTACACTGTTAGTTAACTGTTAGCTACACTGTTAGTTAACTGTTAGTTACACTGTTAGTTAACTGTTAGCTACACTGTTAGTTAACTGTTAGTTACACTGTTAGTTAACTGTTAGCTACACTGTTAGTTAACTGTTAGTCACACTGTTAGTTAACTGTTAGCTACACTGTTAGTTAACTGTTAGTTACACTGTTAGTTAACTGTTAGCTACACTGTTAGTTAACTGTTAGTTACACTGTTAGTTAACTGTTAGTTACACTATTAGTTAACTGTTAGTTAACTGTTAGTTACACTATTAGTTAACTGTTAGCTACACTGTTAGCTACACTGTTAGTTGACTGTTAGTTACACTGTTAGTTAACTGTTAGTTAACTGTTAGTTACACTGTTAGTTAACTGTTAGTTACACTAGTAGTTAACTGTTAGTTAACTGTTAGTTACACTATTAGTTAACTGTTAGTTACACTGTTAGTTAACTGTTAGTTACACTATTAGTTAACTGTTAGCTACACTGTTAGTTAGACTGTTAGTTAACTGTTAGTTACACTATTAGTTAACTGTTAGCTACACTGTTAGCTACAGTTAGCTTCACTGTTAGCTACAGTTAGCTTCACTGTTAGCTACAGTTAGCTTCACTGTTAGCTACGAGGAGTAGCTTCAGATTTACTGCACAAATATGAGAGTGGCATCAATAATCACATCTATCTCTTAGAGGGAGAAAAGACATTCTTTCACCAGTGTCCCTAAAAAGTCAGGTTCAGTCCTCCTCGTAAAAGAAGGCCATTTCTTAATTTCAACATTCAATCGTGTTAAATAGATTTATAATCCAAAGAAAAACAGAATCCTTACCGCAGCCTCTTTCTGTCTTTGTCTAGCTTTGCCAGTTTTTATCTTTTGTTTTCAGAAACTGTCTGTAGGATTTGACTGAGCAGGTTTGATAGTTTTAGTGCACCTTTTTCGTAGGTAAGAAAAGGTTTTCTCCGGCACATTCTCAGATTATCAGAGGGTTAAATAGAACAATTCATGTTGGATTAAGACCTCTTCTTTTAGCTTTGTGTAAATCTTCTCTGCCTGTGGTTGCATGGAGAGTAGTCTGAGTCTCTTTAGGGCTAATCTTGGTGCACTGAATGTCCTTTTGGGAGCCCTGTTTTCATTCCCTGTGAATCTGTCCCTCTCTCTGTGTTTCTCTGGACATGTCATCTGCAGCCTCGCCGTCCTCCTCTTACTCCTTCTCACTCCTCTCCGAACTCTGACCTCATGCAGACCTCATGTTGACCTCAGACCCACATCTTTATCTTTTTCTCTTTTTTTTTTGCGACTGGTCGTGCATTTTTTCTTTATTTTTTTGTGCTCTTGAAAACCCCACCTTTTTTAAGTGTCCGCTCTGTGACCGATTCCCCTCACACAGACTGTGTACTCAGCACCCACTGGGAGGGGGGAGGTGACCCTCGCTCTCTATCGCTGTTTCTGTCTCTATAACCATCACCCTCTTTTATATACTCCTCTCCCGCTCTCTGGCTGCCCTTCTTTTTCTCTCTTTCTCTCTCGCTGTCCTCTCCCTCTCTTCCCATCCTCTCTTCCCCTTGCCCTCCCGCCTGTCTGCATGCATGTGCACGAGGCTGACTTCACCGTCATCTCCTCAGGTGTTTGCATCAAGGTTGTCAAAATGTTTCATTTCTTTGAAACTTTTTTCGATACCACATTTTAAGTGATACCATCTCTGTTATTTTAATGAGTATAATAAAAGCACAGAAACTTTTTTTAAAAACTGCCGACATTCACTCATATGTTTTTACCAAAAGCTGCCAAGAGCAGAAGAGAGAGACCACTGTCTACATTGCACAAATCCAATGGCAACATTTCAGATTTGTGCAATGGAGACAGTGTGCAGGAGTTTGCCAGCAAATTTTGGTAATTAAAAACAACATATAACCTAATATTTGGTGCCTAAAACTTATATTTTTGTTGCAGAGGTATCCAAACAGACACCAATAGATTTATACGAGTATCAAATCTTTGTTTTAAACTCTGGTATCCTGACAACCCCTCGT